GGAAAGAGTAAGATCCTAAATTATGACCTTCAAAAGTTTCCTTGATCTCTGTGCAGTTTGCCCTAAATCTAACGAGGTTTCTGAGGCAAGACCAGAGCTAGGACCACAGAAAGTACAGGATGTTTTGCAAAATGTGGTAGTTCAGAGAAGCCGGGGTCCAGAGGAAGGAAAGGCTCCAGAAGTCAGTACACCAAATGGGAGAGACAGGGCCAACTTAGGGGCAGGAAGTTTTCAGAGCTGAAGATAGGGTCGACATGTGCAAGGTGCAGGCATCAGTTGCCCTTTGAGCCTTAGTCATCAATATCTGTAAACTTCTTTAGAACTTTTGGGTTCTTCCTTTCTGAGGTCCTGTGGCCATATGGTGGAGAAGATGGCTGCCAGAACAAAAATTAAAGAAAATTTAAGAGACTTCATTAAAATGCAGGATATAAACTTTGGCTGTTATTCCTAATATGAGACCGTTTGTCCATCCACCCATCTATTCAGCAACTGTGTAGGCATTGTCCAACTTTGGGCCGCTGTTTCAGAAATAGCAACTACTCAGACCCCCCCAAAAAAAACAGGCCTGCAAGAGGGTGGGATGGTAGCAGGGGTGAGAATAGGGTGCTGCAACCCTACACAAACAGCCACTTATCTCGAGAATATCAGGGATTACCTCCATGAATGCTGTCCAGATTAATGGTGTTACTCCTTGCTTCTGCCCAGAAGGAAAAAAGCCAGATTATCCCGGGTAGCATCAGGAAGTAAAATACTTAATGCAAGTTTCACTTGCTAAAACTAGTAAAGGCCGAGAGAAACAGATCTCTTCAAAATTGCCTTTGTAAAGCTCATCCCTTCATTCATATATTTATTTTTGGCCCTTTATTGAGCACCCACTATATGCAACGTACTTTGCCTAAGTTATAGAATGAGAGAAAATCAACTGATGAAGAGAAAGTAGGGACAACATGTGAAAACTAAATAAATAGAGAAAGTGAAAACACATGACAAAGGGTTATGGTCCCTTCAGAATTACTTGCATGACTAGTAATTCTGAAAAAAATAATTTATTCTGTAACTGCCACCATAGCAAAAATGTGGATTTTCCAATCAAAGATAAGCAAAATTCTGCAGAAAGGTAAATAACATATGACAACCTGGGCTGGCTTATTATGTGAGTTATCTAAAGTAAGTTTTCTTTCTGCACTTCTGTGGATTAAACGATTTGACATAATGACTGAAAGAGATTGCTGAGTCGGCACATGGTGTGCACCATGAACCCTCTATTTCCATTTACTGTCTAATCCAGATCTGCTTTTGGTCCTCAGCACACGCCTCACTGCCACAGCAGTGACCATAGAGGTACTGTCACAAGGGCATGACAGAAAATCAGACATGGGTCACAGAGTTTATTCTTCTGGGATTTCCACTCGGTCCAAAGACACAGATGCTCCTGTTCGGGCTCTTCTCCCTGTTCTACGCCTTTACTCTGCTGGGGAACGGGGCCATCCTGGGGCTTATCTGTCTGGACCCCAGGCTGCACACACCCATGTACTTCTTCCTCTCCCACCTGGCCGTCGTCGACATGTCCTATGCTTCCAACAATGTCCCCAAGATGCTGGCAAACCTCGTGAACAAGAAAAAGACCATCTCCTTTGTTCCCTGCATAATGCAGACCTTTTTATACATGGCTTTTGCTCACACAGAATGTCTCCTATTGGTGGCCATGTCCTATGATCGATACGTGGCCATCTGTCACCCTCTACATTACGCTGTCATCATGAGCCGGAGACTATGCACCATCCTCGCTGCTGCTTCCTGGGCATGTGGCTCCCTCCTGGCCCTGGTCCACGTGGTCCTCATCCTGAGGCTGCCCTTCTGTGGGCCTCACGAGGTCAACCACTTCTTCTGTGAGATCCTGTCTGTCCTCAAGCTGGCCTGTGCCGACACCAGGCTCAACCAAGT